ATCATAGCGTGTGCACGAACCCTCCCTCCCCACGCCAAAATGGGCGAGACAGAAGCGGAAGGTGGTTCTTAAAGAGACAGAGGCCAATTTCAAGGCATTTAGAAGAGGAAATGATGAGAAGATAAGTTTATTTTCTGTTTAAACATTAAAAACAGCATTTTAATAACAGCTAAAGGTGACATAGATACTTTATTATGGTATAGTATTTAAATGTATGCCTGAGGAACACATAATATTGCCCCTTTAAGGTTGTTTTTGAAATCCAAGTTGCAGACAGAACACGCCTCGAACTCGGAGTCAAAAATATAAGATGCTTTAATCAAAATAAACCACTGAAGTGGCAGCCGAAATCTCTGGGGAAACGAATACTGGTACTCAAGGTACTCAATGCATAACTGCCCTACTGACACAAAGACACACAATATATATAGACACTAATGAAATGAAATGACAAACACCAGTGAGGAGGACAAGCAGAATTAGGAAGAGCTGGGGTCAGATTTATAAAGGATTGCATGGAAACCATACTAAAAGTAAACGTACGGCCAAAAGGCGAAAATGGCGTACGCCAAAAAAAATTGAGATTTATAAAACCGTGCCTACGCATGTTTCATTGCAATTTCCCTTTATAGATCACAGCTGTGCCTCATAATTTACACACAAGGTCCCACCTCAGGTTCTACCCTCTACACGCCCACACTCAACCATAAACAGTCAATGCAAAGTACCTCATGAATGTTAAGATGTATTTAAATCAGTCAGCTGATCAATGTCAAAAAGAAGTGATTGGCCGGTTCAGACGCTCCTTCGTGCGTCTGGAGGACGACAGGTGCTGAAAGCTGCTCACGTGAACAGATTGTAATTGACACMGATTTTCCCTCAGTTTGCAGGTTTACAGACGTTTAGAGTAATCTAATGATTTATTTCAACAACTCAGCTTCAAGTTAATTTCTTCACAGAGGATGATAAGAACAATAAATTAAATTAAATAAGTCAGATAAAGTTAAGTTCACCGCTCTTCTTCCCCGTCCTCCCTCTCTCTGCTGTGTTATCTGCGGCAGACACCCCCCCCCACTCGCTGCGCGTGACAAATGCGGTTTTTAAAAAGTGAACTTTTTATAACATGCAAACCGGCGTACCCAAAGCGTGACTTTTGCTGTCGTGCTGTTGAAATGTCTCTTGTCAGGGAGGGGTCTGTGAGTCAGGGTCGTGAGAAGGAGGAAAGAAATTATTGAGTTGCGTGAACTTTTATTTAAGATTTAAGTTTTTTTTATTTCAAAGCTCCTTCTGGCTCAGCAGCAGAAGCATAAATATTACTGTTAAGAAAGCTGATGATAAAGCTAAATAAAAATCTAAGTCTGATTCTGAAGGTAAATTAAATATCTGACAGTGATCATTACACAGTGTGGCTCTAATTCYTCRCTTCACCATCTGTGTCGCAGTTTCCCGTCTCCAAAATGAGYGTATGCATGGGTCAAAGCTGGCGCACCGCACATTTTCACGTCAAGTTTGGATTTTATAAATCACAACCTTGGCGTGAAAAGTGGCATACACAAGTTTCTTGGCTCATATTGTGCGTACGCCAGTTTTATAAATCCGACCCCTGGAGAGGAACACAGAGGTTTAGGTAACACAGACACGTGAGGAAAATGAGCATAAAAAGGAAAATAAGAGAAAACACAAACCCTCACAACTTTTTATATATATGGTTTTTGTTTGGTTTCGGTTTGAAGGATACAACTTTAATTCTGACCCAACTGAGAAACTGACAGCTTGTTTCTCAGAGTCAAGATCCAGGTGGATTTCTTCTGATTCAGAACAACTCTAATCATTTATGTCAACCCCTTTGGACATTTCCCTTTATGCTGACCTTCAGAAATCCATACATTTCACCAAAAATCTGTTGTACTCTCACACAATACAACTTGGCAGAGGGTAGGAGGCAACTTACCATTTCACCAACAGGTCAGCTCTGAGACGTGAAATAAATTTCATGTTCCACCATGCAAAATGGTGGAAAATCCTTGCAGTTTACAGACAATTTCTACAACTTGATATACAGTGTTGTTCCAATCTAAAAAAAATTGAATCRGTTAATATGTTTGGAAGTTTTTACATTTCTGTCAGCTTTTCCTTTTAAATATTTGTTCACAAAGAATTTTATGAACATTTTCAGTCACAAATAGTGGCAGCAGCAGCTACCTGTAGCACTTTGTACAACCTGGGGCACTTCATGCAACAACAGTATGTCTGCTGGAATAACAGAGTAATGAAAAGGAGTGACGGCAGTGTAATGGTCTTTGTCCCACGCAGATGAGCTGCTAACTGGTTTTAGTTAAAAATGTATCTAGAACAGGTAAGTTATTATTACTTCAGAAATTTTTAACTAACCCTCACTGCTGAAGTCAAAAGGTCACTAATTTAATCTCACAGTCACATCTGTGGTCAGTGTCTGTTATATACTTTGTCTAACAGTTAGCCTGATCTGTACTTTTTATGGTGATATTTCAGTCTTTGTAGTAAATTATCTAATACTATAAACCCAKATAGCTTTGATTTGGCATTCATCCTCGAAGTTCAGAAAAGTTTGGAACTACGGATGGAACACATAAACTGTTGATGTCTCACGGTATTAAAATATTTTCGCTACCTGCCAGCACTCCATTTTCCCTTCAACCTGCCTGTGAATGTTGCTAAGCAAAACAATTACTTATAACCCACACTATACCCCACTGTAATTTACAGCACTGTAAATTACACTGGACCACGTGTTGTATGCAATCTGTGCCAGATCCCATCCAGATGCCCTTGCTCCTTGATGACAGTGTGACTCAGCTCAGATGTCTTATCAGCCTCCTCAGACCCGCCAGACAGAGATTGCTCAGTATTGTTTTTGTGTAGCTTTTAGGAGAAAGAGTTGGACCAGAGGCAAAATACGTTTCGTGTGTTTCTATGGMTAATACAAGTACAACAAGGAGCCAATTAAATGCATCAACTGATGCATCATTTCACATGAGGCATTTTGGCAGACTGGACAACTCCTTTCCTGAAAAACACTCAGTGATGGTTACTGTGCTACTGCCTTCATCAAATCATGAAGCACTTTACAGCAACTTTCTAGTCTGAAATAAATTACAACCAAGGAAACTTTGAATCATTTGGTAATAAAGGGTAATAAAGACACAACTGTAGACTCGGAACTAAGTGACACATAGTTGACCCCTTTTGGCCCACTGACTGCTGACTGYTTAGTCTGGAAAACACCCCGTGTACAAAAGTTCAAGCCTATCGTGGAAAATTACTAAAAGAAAAGTTATTTAAAAATACGTAGTTACTAAAATGTAAGAAAATATTTGTTTGGTAGAATATTTCTTTGTTGTAACAATGCTTCTTTGTGTAGGGGTCACCTCGAGTGAAGAAACAAGATT